GCTAATAAAATTATTTTAAAAAATTGTTTCTTAATTTTATGATTTCATTGTTTAATGTTAATAGTGAACTGGTATAATCATCGAAATATGAACATTATTTATGGTGTGCGCTACTAATATACACATAAGTAATATATAACAATAGTCAGGAATAGAATGTATTTCAGTAGAAGATCAAGAAGAAAAAAACGAAGACGGAAAGTAATTGGTATGAAAATGCAGAAACAAGGAAATCTGAGACAATCGATCGACATTCTGCAAATTAAAGATTTACTGTATGGTTCTTAGATTTTAGTGAGATATTCTATGATTTCGTGTTCATATATACTCGGTTATCCCCACTCATGTTCTTGTTCACTACATATTAATTATGTAACTAAGTGAATCTGAAAATAAGAGTTTATTGCTTTATATTAAATTGATTTTAAAGATGGTTTAATAATCTTTATTAACACTTTTATTTAATCTTTTCTATTTAATCCTATTACATATGAGTTCATTAACTATAGATTGAAGTATATGGTCATCATGATTATTGATTCTTTTTATAAAGATGATCTCTTTTTCTTTAGTTCACATTTAGTGTTTACTTTACTTTCATAACACGTTCCATCTAAAGGATCTCTATTTTGATTATAAGTATTATAACTAAGATTTGACATGATAATGTCAAATAAATTTGGCATTAGGTGAATTAATGTCTTAGAAAAACTAAACTATAAATAATGTCAGAAGGGGTTTTACTGATATTATAGTAACTTTAATAGTTGAGATCATGAGTCAATTGAGGCTAGACCGTGATGGAAAACCCGGATGCACTGGACTGCCGTTACGTCCTATTGTGGGATCAAAACCGATAGGTCCCGGGTTTTAATCTCACGAGGCGGGATCGTCGGTGCGCACTGCTGGGGAGTCCGAAAATAGGACGAAACGGTCGTCCAGTGCATCCAACGTTTCGTGACTTAGTGTAAGCTTTTTTTGTAAAAGGTAAATAAATGAATTAAATTAATACAAATGGTACTAATGAACAAATCATAACCTTTAGTACTTAATTTTATTGTTGTTATAATCGTCTAGTGTATATGAGTGATCTTTTGCATTAAAACATTTACAGATACAGTATACAAGAACTTTCATTTAAATTTGAATGAACAGATTCATATTATTTGGGTGCTGAGTTGTAAGATATTAAAGAGGAAGAATATATTTACAAAATCGTGGTGATTGAATGTGAAGTGAATACACTGTTTCGTTCAACAATTTGATACGAGATTTTCTTTGAAACGTCATCGGATTTACTTCAAATTCAATCGCTGAGTTTTTACAAATATATTCTTCTTCCTTAATATCTTTAGTTATATTTTGAATATTGACATAACAATTTCAATTTAAGACTTATTTCATGTACAAAATGAACTGTATATTTTTCGATAGTGTAATAAGAAGAAGATTATCAGAACTATGTGATACATTTAGAATAATCTGATCACATAAATACTAGTTAAGAAAATTTATGTACAAAGTAAAAGGTCAACTAGAATAGAAATGGAAGGTAAGAGGAGACAAGGATTATAGTGAATTTATAATGAAAAAAACAATTTGAAACCTTATCACTCTACATAATAAGTTAATATTACCAAGGTAGGTTTAATGTAGGAGCAAATTATTATTGAATACAAAAGGGGGTTTGAATTTCCGTATGGTTAAGGCCTAAATCAGCCATTAACAAGACGTATAGCGCTACAAAGGTCATTATCAAGGAAAGAAAAAGGACCATGCTACGTCAAAAACCTAAAAGACGTGAAAACAATTGTGTCACATCCCACTGTGTTTACTATGTTTACGATGAAAGCTCCATGACCGAACCATCCAGCTCAGAGAACAAAACTCCATCAAAATCACCAACCTGAGCTACAATTCATCTCCACCACAAAAGCCGGGTTAAGACCAATCTTATGACCTGTTTCAATTATATATTTGGCAATAGAGAGTTCTGGATGTTTATTCTTTACTATTATTGGGTCATTTGATTTTATTTGGTTCTACAACCATTTAGGTACATGTTCACATACCGTAATTTTAGGATCACGATTACTCTTCCCTATGTTTGTATGCATGACCACAAAAAATTTAGATTGTTAAACACAGTAGGATGTGACGCAATTGCTTTCATGTCTTTTGGATGAAGCATGAACCTAGTTCTTTCCTTGATAATAATCTTTACAGAGTAATACGTTTTGTTAATGACTGATTTCTAGTCTTATTGACCTTTTATTTTTATCCCAAAATGTTCTTAACAATTATATTACGTGTGTTCAGATTGTTCGAAATGTATTTCACTGATATATCATATTACTTCTGATAATTATCATCTTATTATTACACTATCGAAATGTATATTTCTTGTTAGCCTGCTTAATATATAAATGCGTTACGAAAATATCCTAATTTATGCCACATAATATAACTATATCAACCTTTAATAAAATTAATTAAACATTTAAAAAAACGAACTAAAATTCTGAAAATCCTACCATTTTTTTATTCAAGTGATCAAAAGTATGTTTTCAATCACAATTGATTGATCACTGGGTGGTGAGCAATGTCATGTGTGTCAAGTCCTTATTATTAGTGCAGATCGAATGCTATCGATCATGATGCAATGTGGCCACCAGTCTAGGGTGATTTGACACTGCGTGCACTATTGTAAGATTAGATGGTGGTTGGAGGTAGTCGACAGGAAACCCTGGGCCCGGGTTTTGTGCTACTTGGCACTCGTCAGCAAGGTGTGCCTGTAATCTTGAGGGAACTGATGCTCCCTAACGGATTCGATCCCGTGTCACCCAGCTTCACAGTCAGAGACGTTACCACTGAGCTATCCGAGCCGCGACCAACTTCCTGTAGGACTGAGATATAATCACAATTGATTGATCACTGGGTGGTGACCAATGTCATATATCTCAAGTCCTTATTATATTTACAATAATAATATTTGCACTATTAAACATTCAATCATAAGTCAATTCAGAATAGAAATACTATTTGTAATGACATAAAAAATATTTATATTTCATTTAATGAATACATAAAACTTTTATGAATTCTTTTATGAAGAAAGATAAATCATGATATTAATAACTAGCTATTTATTTGAACACATAAACATTGGTACAAGGGGAGGCACCAAATGCATATGCGCTACATAATAATAATGAGGTCACTAGCAGTTATCACTGATATGTGTGAGAGCTGTGGTATTATCTAAGTGCCGAAATCAAAGCAGGTGATTTTCTTAGGAGGTCACAGCCTGAGCCTTTTACCTGATGGTTTCATCCGCAAGGCAGTGGAGCAACATAAGGAGGTGAAACCACATGGTAGCCGGTGACCAACAATAGGTTCATAAGTATTTTGTTCCTTCAGGATTCTGAAGCCCATGTACACCACTGGTTTGCAATCAGGGTCTTCTAATTTCCATAGGTGGATAATCCATATCCACCAACTCGATAAAGCGTCAAACGTTCACTTTTCGTCCTCTGAATTTCGTAAACAACATCCCCTAAGCGAGAAGACAGAGAATAGAATAACTAGCTAAACTTGTTGATGTGTTATTTTCATTTAATTTTGAACAGTTAATTATTTTATTATAACATTTGGTGTACAAATTTGTTTGTCACATTCTGACATTCAGTTGTTTGGATTATACATTTTGATCGAATGCCCTAGAATACTCTGCAAACTGATGTTCATTTAAATTTCACATATAAGTTTCTTTTTCGTTATGATGCATAAAATATGAAAATTTTTAGTTCATTACAGAAATGAAAATACCAGGAGATTTAAAATATTTCACATGATACTTGACCGTTGTTTAACAAAATGCAGTTGTTTTTATTATGTTCATCATAAGACGATTATTGTTGGAAACAGATTATTTCTTACTACGTGATGCTCACGGAGGCAACCAGTACAAGTGAAGTATCTGTATGACCTTTAGATATAAAGATTTTTGACATAAATCACACAATTGCGTTTGATACGAACAATTCGAAAGACTTAATTCATCTGTACATTATGCTAAGCATTTTTGATTTATTTGTAAATGAGTTTGCCCTAATTAGCTCAAGCTGGAACTCTGTACTGAATTTTAGTAACCTTAAGTAAATAATAGTATATCTTTTCTGAGTTCTTTTAATTCAATAGGAAGTATGTCAGAACTGCCTAATATCTGATGTGGCTAGATCCTAGTGTACACAGCCTCTCACTAGAACCCAAGGAATTATTCACCAGTCAGTATATGATTATCATTACTGTAAAGAGGGTTTGTAGAAACTGTCCAATTGATTTTCGTTAGATAAACATCAAAAACAATCAAACACTGGACAGCCGTTTTCTTTTTAGTACGAAACACTTAAACAGTTTTCACTCACAACACTACCGGAAATCTGACTCAATGTCTAAAAACTTCGTGACAAGCGTCTAACATTTGAACCACAGACCGTTACTCAATAGTCTGTATATCTAATGTCAGTGATAAGTAAGTGCCTCACCAAAAATAAAATCACATCTTTCCAACAATTACTTATTCGACTATTTAAAGTTATGTATCTTCATTTGTGTGAAAGTCGATGGTTTAAACAAAATGTTTTATGGTAAACAACAAGATGTCATGGTGTTTAGAAGAAATTTTAGACTCCATTTTTCCCACATCTTAGGGAACTAACTGTAAGCAAATACTTAATCGTATTCCTTACAAAATAGCATGAGTTTTAAGGGGAATATTAGTTTTCCGCTCTTTAATTATGCTTTAGAGGGTAGAGTCACAAAGTTCTGAGCAAACTGTTGTTTTCATCTTGATCTGATCATTGATTATCATTTAGTATTATCCTATACACAATCAGTTTGAAAAATCGTATGTATGTACGTATTTAATTAGCTATTGTTTCGACAGTTATATTTCCGAATCATTTTAGTAACAAAATGTCTATTTCGGCAATCTTTAGGAAATTATTCAATTAAATTTGAAGAAAGCTCATTAATAGATTTAGAAGCAGTATTCCTTTCAGCACTACCTGGCCTTCAGTCTAATAAATGTTTCGAATGTGGATGTGTATTAGATTCACACAGCGGACATGAACTTAAAACAAATAATAAAATGAATGAAAATAATATTTCATCTAATAATAATAATAATAATAATCACAAATCAATGAAACGTCAGAAATCACACAAAGAAGTATTTTCACACTTACGACGTGTTCGTTCTCATCATCAGTTCAGTCAAATCGACATTACTCCACAAGCTACAACTATGCGTATTTGTCATATGACTGGAAAATATTATTGCGAACGTTGTCACTGGGATGACACTTGGTATGTACCAGGTTCAATATTCCTCCTAAACGATACATCTAAACAACCTGTAAGTCTTTTTTCTTATAATCATTAAACATGCATCATTAATTTTAACGTTTTTATACAAAATTCAGCGACTACTTTCTATCATAGGTGACAGAAACATCTATTTTTTCTTTCGCATATAAGAGGGGTATATTCCTTTGCTTTGTAATTTAAGAATATACTTTTAAATATCAGTGTGCAATAATATCTAGAGTAAATTTAATTGCGACTCATCTATAAAGTAAATATTTAGCGATGAATTAAACACATTTTTGATCACTTCCATGAAAAATAAGTTTAAATACTCAATTAGTCAAACCTGTTTGTAGTTTATATCATACAGTGACTTTGGTTATTTTAGGTCGATATTAAGAGAACCCTTAAAAAACCATGCCGTTCTAGGTTCGGGCTACTTAGCAGTGTTTGCCCACTATTTTATCAAGAATCAAACTCAGCATCTTCAGAAATAATGACAAAAACGTAAGCATTATATCACTGAATTAGCATTCAAAGGCTTATAAAATTAAATATAATGAATCCTTAATAGTGATTGACTGTGTAATCTGTTTCTGTCAAAGATATTTTCTCAATCTAGACATGCCTTTATTACAATGGACACACCATATTACTGGGATTCCCAATATTTTTTCCAGTAGTTTGTTAATAGTCAAAGTATTATTATTATTATTATTATTATTATTATTATTATTATTATTATTATTATTATTAGAATACACTATTTATTGATGTAATTTAGATAAGGTTCAGTTTACTTACTAGAGATATATGTGTCCATGATCTGGTAGAATAACGCATTTAAAATATTTTCGAAACAATCAGTTTAATCATTGTGAGTTTCCATTCAGTTTAAAAACAAAATAATCATTTTTGATTCATGAAATCTAAGCCATTCATTATTTTTTTCTGAACAGGTTTGTCGTTCAGTCTACATTAAATTGTGCGTTATTTGGGATTCTTTGATATTGAAAGTTCCAGCTTATTGGCATCGAGATAACCTTGAGGCTGGGAAGGTTTACGAGATTCGCACCAAATTACAACCACTTTTACGCTACGCAATGTTATGTCCAGAGGCTTCTTCCATAAAGGCTAGTGCTGAAGTAAGCTTTTTTCATCGGCAAAGTTATTTTTAATTATAATGCTTATGACTTAAAGCAATATCAATACAGGATGCACAGATGCCAATAAGAGGCTGATCAGTTGCAGTTCTAAATGTCAACAAACAATACAAGACCAATTTAAACTTCACCCCGTTGCACAAGCAAGTGGCTATCAGGACTCAGTAGCTATGTGGAGAACGTGATATCGTTTGAAGCGAACGGTACTGAGTTCACGTACTAAAGTTAATACAAACTCTGGGAAGCAGCTATGTCCAGCTGACGAGTCCCAAATAGGACAAACCGCGTTTCTGGAATACCTTTACTAGCCACTATCCATCTTTGTTTATAAATTTATATTTGGTTATTTATTTATTATATAGGAATAGTCATTTGAATGAAAAATAATACTAACCACTTTTTATCTCCATTTAACCATTAAACTGATTAAAATTATAATCTTTCTCTTTAGACATAGACTAATTTGTCAATTTCAAAGTTTCACATAATTGTAATAATGTATATTGTACACCATAATGAGTAAAGTTAATTTACCAACTTATAATATAAAATAAGAATTTCAAGGATATGTTATTTACATACAACATCTATTATAAAATCTTTTAGTTATATGTAAAATATCTAAAAGATTTGAATGGTTTTAACGACTCAGCTATGAAACTGATTACATAACACCAGATTATTTCAATTTAAACTAGACATAGTTTAGTTTACTAATAATCGTATATATATTAATACAGTTCTTCATAAATGAACTTTATAGACGGTATACATTCATTTAGCATATATGTCTCATGATAGATTATTACAATTGACATTCTACTATTAAAGTGAATAATTAGCTTATGATTGATGATACAATTTTATTATAAAAATATTTTATTTTTCGGAAATTTTAATGATCGATTACATGTTTGTTATGTGTATTGAGTAAACAAATTTACGAAAGACGTAATATTATGTTACCTACCATATGAGGTTTTTTAGTATTGATTAACGTTATTGATACTCTCATTTCAACATGCACATTGATTTGTATCAGTTTGCTTACAAATGTAAAAGAAGTACCTTAGATGCTGTTGTACAGACTAAATCGCAACTCTATGGATCATTGTTGAACAATCAATTGAATGGAATTCATCACTCTACATCGACTTCATTGACTATGAGAAAGCATTTGACAGCGTGGACAGGACAACACTATGGAAGCTTTTTCGATACTACGGCGTGCCTCAGAATTCCTATGATGGGTTAAAATGCAAAATCGTGCATGGGGGACAATTGACAAACTCGTTCGAGGTAAAGACCGGTGTCAGGCAAGGTTGCTTACTCTCACCCTTTCTCTTTCTCCTGGTGATCGACTGGATCATGAAGACGTCAAAATCTGAGGGGAAGTATGGGATACAGTTGACAGCTTGAATGCAGCTGGACGATCTAGACTTCGCAGATGATCTGGCCCTTCTATCGCAAACGCAACAACAAATGCAGGAGAAGACGATCAGTGTGGCAGCAGTCTCAGCAGCAGTAGGTCTCCACATACACAAAGAGAAAAACGAGATTCTCCAATACAACACAGCATGCACCAATCCAATCACAATTGACGGAGAAGATTTGGAAGATGTAAAAGCCTTTACATATCTGGGCAGCATCATTGATGAACACGATGGATCTGATGCAGATGTGAAGGCGCGGATCGGCAAAGCAAGAGCAGCATATTCACAACTGAGGAACATCTGGAACTCAAAGCAACTGTCAACCAACACCAAGGTCAGGATTTTCAATACAAATGTCAAAACAGTTCTACTGTGTGGGGCGGAAACCTGGAGAACTACGAAAGCCATCATCCAGAAGATACAAGTGTTTATTAACAGTTGTCTACGCAAAATACTTCGGATCCGTTGGTCGGACACTATTAGCAACAATCAACTGTGGGAAAGAACAAATTAGATCCCAGTGGAGGAAGAAATTAGGAAGAAGCGCTGGAAGTGGATAGGACACACATTGAGGAAAGCCCCTGACTTTGTCACAGGACAAGCCCTCACATGGAATCCTGAAGGCCGAAGGAAAAGACGAAGACCAATGAACAGATTACGCCGGGAAATGAAGAAAAAACATGAGAAAAATGAACAAGAATTGGACGGAATTAGAAAAGAAGGCTCAGGATAGAGTGGGTTGGAGAATGCTGGTCATCGGCATTTACTCCATTGGGAGTAACAGGCGTAATTAAGATGCCGTTGCTGTTCTGCATCACAATATAGTGTTCAGCTTGGAAAAGGGTAAGAAATATGTTCTGGATTATACTTCTGCTTTTGATTCTATCCCGAGAAAACTCTAATTCAACAAGTTAGTCAGCATCAATATTTACATCTGAACGACCAATCGGTTATATTCCTACCTCTCTGGAAGAGAAACGTACAGTGTATTTGGAGAAATGTGTTCAGCATCTTCAATGTCTCATGAAGTTGTGTCATAAGGAGCTGTTCTTTCACCTCTTCTTTTCTCCTTTTTTCTGCATGATCTGACATCTTCCACAGAAAACACTTTTGTGAAGTATGAGGACGATCTCACTTTATGTATGCTGATTTCTACCTCTTTACATTCCATAGAAATGAATGAGTTGTTGTCTCATATTGAATAGTAGTATGCTGTTAACGGTCTCATAGTTAATCCGTCTAAATATCAAGCCGTTAAATTTAGCTTAAGACATGAATAGCACCTAAACAGCACTTTGAGTTCCCATAATGCTGGTGCCACTGGAGACTCTTTGATAAACAAAGAGTCGAAGACCAATTATCTTGGTATTACTTTCTCATTTGATCTCTCTTAGTCTTCTTATGTTTTACAGTTATCGAAGAAAGTTTTCCGGCTGACTTACTGCATAATGAGGTTACATGCTTTTAAAATTACTCCACATTTTCTCTTACAATTTGTCGATTCCGGCATACTACCTTATTATTCTTTACTGTTCTCCACTATTCTCTCTCCGGCTTTTGAGAAAAAACACTTTGCTGTATTGCGGAGAGTGCTGAACGCAGTTAGCAAGGTGTGTGGTGAATCTTTTGAAGTCATTATTAATATGATTGTGGATAAACATCTAAAGTCCTGCAAACTTCTGGAAAGTGTTATCTTATCAGAATCTAACCATTCATATCTTTCTCCTTGTATATCTTCTCGTAGAACGAGACGTAAATATATGAAAATCTATGCACACAATCTACCAAATGCGGATTTTCTAAAAGCACATTTTTGAACTTACTGCTGTAATTTCACTTGGTATTTTTTATTCGAATCTTCCCATTGATGTTTAGGACTTCAACTGATCAGCCTTTTATTGTTATATGTGCATACTGTGTGTATTTCATTGGTGTTACCATAATGCACAAGCTTAATAAACAAAGATGGATAATATTGGGGTAACTATGAAACTTCTCAAAACCGTTATTTGAACATACTTAACCAACGAAAGTTACTGTACTTTATAAATTTAAGAGTCTCAAGAATTTGTTGGACCGGTGGCGATGAGAATAGGAATGAAGTCTACTGTACTTTACATTATAGTATAAACTTCTTAATTTGTTAGTAACTTCAAAAGTTTTATTTTTTGTTTGCTTTTCTAAAGCTTTCCGGACCAAGCTATTTGTTGGGTAATCCTGATTATTTTCGTATGTGTGATGTCCTTGATGTACTCAATGGAACACTTTATTCTAGATTAAAGGAGTATCTGAAAATTTGGTTTGAGCATAAAACACACTGTGAAGTAAGTCATTCATTTTACGTTATATATACTTGTGTTAATGCAATAATTAAATTACATATTTCCATTTTAAACAGCTAAACCTCTCAAAGTTGATTATAGATTATTTTGTTTTATGTTCGCTACTTGATTAACGCAGAATACGGTGTTTAATAACGGCACTCGAACGTATAGAACCCCACAGTCACAAAGTCAGAAAATAGAAGAAAGCTGGGGAAGTGTTTGTTGAGTAAGAATCGAGATGAACAGAAAGTCATGGCTATTTATACATATTAGCGTTTGTTATGACATCATTATAATTCAGCCAATCCAAAAAGAGACAAGTAATGCTACTATACAATCGTAGTAGGCCACGTTGATATTCTAGAAAGCTCGGTCACGTTCTGATTAGATGAAAACTCTTCGGCTACTTCAGGGCCTCTGGAGGCTCCGTCGTAATTCTCGAAAGCCGTCCCAACATTTTGCATAAGATTTTTCTCATTTTTACTTTGAATTAACACTAAGAATTTTATTGCATTAATCAGACATGAATAGTACTTCATATTTGTTAAGCGATACATGCAAATTTATTAATATCTGAATTTTAATTCTGTCAAAATTATTTAGTTGTATTTTGTTTCGATTTTACATACAATAGCATGATAATATTATTCAGAATATTCAAAAATTTGCTTGTGTACAGTTTTCCAAATCAATTTAATGTTTTAAAAATTTTTGGAGTTGAATAATATTAGTTTTGGTTTACCCATTGGGGTTTCCCCGCGTGTGTTGGAATCCCATCATCGTCTCCAGTTTTTATATCTAGAGCTTAGATTCTTGATACACCGCGTACAAATTAAGCACTCGAACACTAGAACCCTCGTTGTTGCAAATGAGAAGACGAAAAATGTGTGTGAAGGAATACTATTCCAAAACTGTCGAATATGGTTCCAAACAGTCAGGTATTTATAGTTTTTCGTGAAAGCGGAACCATCATTATTGTCATTCAGTCCTCATACACTGGTTTTTAAATTTTGTCCACTAGGGAATGTATCTTCAGTAGATGATTGTATGGAATGTCTTTGGCTCTTTATGAACTTCTTATAGCCTCCTTAAGTTTACCCGCGGGCCATCCTCACATACATCCAAGATTATTCATTAGCATAAATGTTCTTTTTAAACATTTAGTTCTAAGACTATAAAATTCTCAGGGCAGTATTTGTAACAAAGTGAATTGATTATATGTAACAGCAATTATTTCCAATACCTAAGGTCATAAGTGCCGTCAAACTCGTTAGACGGACATAAGTTAATATATGACAAGTGGCATCTTTTAAAATGTATTGAAGTAGTAAAAGTTAAGATATACTTACTATCATTCATATAAATTGTGTGCTTCTTGATAACATGTCTTGTAAGATATAAATGCGGTTCACATTTGTGTTTCAATAAATTAAAGGTTTAAGAAATATATTTATATCTATTTTTTCTTGGTTATTATTAAGTGTAAATTTGTTACGTTTAACAATGAATATATCTACTGATGCTTCGTCTAGCTAAGGTAGTAGGATTTACTGTGAAAATAGCAAAACAAGAAAACAAAACCCAAATATTCTTAGTTTATGAATCATCAAAGTTAAGATTCAATAAAATCTTATGGTAGTACATACGATACGAAATTTGCACTAAATGAAGTAATTATAATTGACTTTAACTGGTAGTGTAGTGAACGAGAACACAATAATAGGAAGCGCTCATGAAGGCAAGAATAAGCGTTTAAGTAACAGAGTTATCAAGTGATAAATTGATGGAAACTTTAGTGGAATTAATAGCTACTCCTTACTGGTGCGATACTCATCATTGGTGTAAACATGACATCGGTAAATATGAAAAGATTTGCACTCATAGTGAATAGTCTACATTTTTATCTTAATACTTTGAACTACTTATAAGTAGACTAGGGTAATACCCGTACTTTCAATTTGCAGTTATGCCACAGTATAAACATCAAGCCAATTTTTGTGAAGCGAAATACTTTTTCATTTAATTCAAATTAAAAATATTTCACTACCATAGTCATCAATGTACTCTATATTCTTACCCAACATTCGAATACAATAGCTCTTATATGATCAGTAATTGTTACCATTTGTACCTGTATAATTAATACTACTATTCGTTTCTTTAATATTGGGTAACTGCAACAGTTAGCATATAAAGAAAATTTTTTAATTAGGTTAATAGTTATTACATAATACATCCATGTTACAATGAACTGATTAGTCAAATAAAGCCTTCCGACTTAACTTTAAAGCTTATCTCAACTCATTTATGAATTACTTTCTTAACCGGCTAACTAACCATCGTTAACCAATATTAAATCAAATAACAAAATTACCGTGGTCCGAATGCTACTACATATTATCAGGTATGTTGATGGTTATATGAGATATATTTTAGTGAGGAGCTATAACGAAGGCCAGGTAAAAAGATCTTAACTCTACTCATTTCATTGTCAAATGTCTAAATGAAAATATCTTTTTTATGTCAAATGCTATATTAAACAAGTAACAAACTCTTTACTATTGACTGATCACTGAGCAGTGAATAATTTCATGTGTGTCAGATTCTTCTTAGTGCAGATGTAATTCTATCAACCACATTGCAATGTAGACACTGGTCTAGGTGACTAGACATTGGATGCACTATGTTGAGAAGTAGGATCAAATCCGTCAGAGCGCATCAGCTCCATAATGATTACGGGTACACCCTGCTGACGAGCGTCAAGTAACACGAAACGTATGTTCAAGGTTTCCTGTTGATTACCTCCAACCTTCTCCTACTATATATATATATGTTTATATAAGGTAGATGACAAATCCTGTATACTGTTAGGATGAAACCAAAACTAACAAATTAATAACCATGTAATACAAGGGTTATCTACTACTTTATTATATCATGGAATAAATAAATAATATTACAGTAGACTTATGAAAAGCTTTTAATCAGTGAACATGAGTTACATAATAATCATAAAGGTAATAACACGCAATAATTTATAGAACGAATGTAAAAGATAATTGTATACTTTAAAAAAAATCAAGGAAGACATTAAAGAGAAAAACAATAGTTGACACTTACGATTTTTAAACTGAGAATATGTATCAATGTCAAGATAAGAAAAGAGATTGAACCCCCTTTTTTTCCTAAAAAAAAAGAATTAAATATGAACTTTAAATTCAACCGCATACAAATTTCATATCTAAACTTTCTATGACCCTATTCTTTTTTGATAATAGCAGATAATTCTAAATAATATCTGATGTGAATTACTTGACGAAAGTTGATCCACTAATCATTCGATTGAGCTGTTAGTCTATTATCAAATTAAAAATTTATTTAAATTAATTCTTTTTCTGTTTGTTTGTTTTTTCACAACATTTTCATTATAGATTTGTAATGATACCGGAAAATCTATTGAAACGGATGATGCAATATGGCTTGGTAACAAGCCATCATAATACAATTACATTTAAAATGATTTTTTTTTTAATAAAAAAAAACCACACCATATTTCCTCCATAGCGATATTATGTTACTGTTTGTTCTGTTTGTTTGTTAGGCTGGTTGGTTGGTTTTTCTTTATAAAAAAACCCACAAATTTGTTTTGTACAATTATTTGAATTACATATTTTTTCACATCTTTATTTATTCAATATTGATTGATTAGATAATTAATTATTAAATGTTCAATGAAAAAAAAAACTATTTCTGTTTTCTTCTCTAAACTGTACTTTTAATTTTATTTATTCTTTCAATGAATATTGATTTTCGAATTATTTGACTTATTGATTATTTAAATATTTTGTTATTTTACAAACAAATTAAATAAATAATTAAATAAATAAATCATGTTGTTGAAAGATCAAACTATGATCAGTTGAAATCAACATGGAATATAATATTTGGTTGGTTGTTTGTTTGTTCGGCTTTTTGAATAAAGAAGCTTGTGAATTATACTTAGACAGTAGAATCATAGCTTAATTCATTATTTTGTAGAATATTTCTATTATGTAATAGAAAATGTGTCTTTATTGTGTTTTAATGAAATGTTGTCAATATTCAATAAATGTATTCACATATTTAATAAAGAAAATCTATTAGAAATAAATTGTTTTGAATGAGAAAGAAAGAAATAATAGCGAGACTGAAGGCCCTAGGTTCGAATCCGGTGAGCGAGATCGTGCATGCACATTGCTGAGGAGTCTCATATTTATAAGAAACAATAGTCCAGTGACTTTAGGTTTTTAATGGTGGTCTTACATTAATTGGTTCATGATCTCAATCAAAAACATAATAATCTTTACAACCCCCATGTACTCATTAGTGACTTGCTTTTGAAGGAATTCTCGGAGTTTAAGTGAGAAGTCGTTACTGGTGAAGCTAATCTGCGTCAGGTTGATAAGTCTTATCGATTGAACGCTATATTAGTTTCCTAAGCTATTCTGGTACCCCGAAAGCTAGAACTGCACAGCGACTTGAACACCAAAGAGAAGACGCAAGTATGAGGGAAAATACTTTACTCCGAGGTTCATTTTATTACAGAAAATATAGGGTTTTTATAATATATCTAAATGTCCTTGGGTCGCCGGAATATTCTGGAATGCTACTGAACATAGTAGCACTGTAGTAGCTAACCAATCAGAGCTTTCGCATGTGACGTTTCGCTACCGTGATATTTCTGGCCAAGACTCCAAATGAACACTGATTGGACGAAACACTTCTTAGTGTTTCTTGATGCTTGCTTGTCTTTTGCAAGCAATTTTCTGGATCACCCCAATGGGTGGTGGTCTAGAAGTTAAGCGTTAGGTTTAAATCCTGTGAGCAGGATCGCAGATGCAGACTGCTGAGGAGACTCACAGTAGGACGAAACGGACGTTCAGTGCTTCCAGGTTTCCCATAGTGCTCTGGCTTTAATTAATTCATGAGTTCAACCTCCAAATTACTAAAATCTGTACAAAACCCCTTTGTGAAAATAATCATCTTATACTGATTTATCATTTTCAATCTGAAATTTACAAATAAAAATGTGCATATAATTTGTTTTAAATAAATGTTTAACAAGAAGTTTTTTTCTATAATGGATAGTTTATAATGAATTTTGAGTATTACTACATTTCAGTAGAGTCATTAAGTAGTCAATTTAATTAGTGTACCTACTGGTGTTATAAAAGTTTGATTCTGGATAGATCAGTATTGTTATTTTTGTTTCTTCTAAATACTCTTCATGTGTACCAATACTCCTACTCTATGTAGAATTAACTTGTTGTTAAGTATTTCTTATTTGGAAAACGAACATAATTAATAAGATTGTTAGGTTGAAAGAGTGATCAAATGTGGTGATTGATGAATAATCACCATTGAATGAACAGATATATCATGAACTTGCAATGTTAGAAATCTGAAGATAGTCCATTAAGATTAGCTTGATTAATAAGTATATGGATCTGGGGACAATGAATTTAGTTACTGGATTAGTTATATTTATAATATCAGTTAGAACACCTTTTTTAATGAAAAGAAAATGTGTTATTTAGAAAATTATTTGTAAAAGACAATATAAAAAATTAAATTTTGTAAATCCTTTTAATCCATAGTTTCCAGGTAAGTAATTCATAAGTTAACGGGATTCACTTTTTTCATAGGAAAGTAATGAGCTTAGATATTGTATACAAATGATATATAAACTAATTCGTAGACATTTTATAATTATACATCGTAGGAATCGGGTAATTAAGTTTGATTAATACGGTAGTATTTTCTTTACTTCGTATTGTAATATGTTCTGTTATGTGGTCTGAATAATCATATTATTAGATGGTTTACTCTATAATTACATATAAACAGTACATCATTCAAAGATATAATCGTTATAATTTACTGATGTGAACAGAGAAACAAAGACGCCATGACAAACAATCAGTGCTATTTTTGGAGAGGTTGGTTTACTTAATTCAAAGCGTGAAAATCACTAACATTTAGTTTTGTCCCTGGTTTATTCTACAAACCAGAAGCTTTCGTTTGATTTATGATGTATTGTCATGCCCTTTTTTGTCCCAAAGCTATTGTAAATTCAAAGTAACCTTTGGTACTCTATTTTTTGGCCTGATGCCCAGTTTGAAAATAGTGGTATTTTTCTAGTTGTTTGTGCGTTGTGCTCATCTTAGTCATCTTTTTGCACTAATCTGAATTGGGAATAAATCGTGTAATGTTTTAATTGACTCGTCTTCTCTCTCTCGATTGTCAACCAATCGACTGACAGAATAGTTTTTGACTCTTTACTCAAGGCAATTAGTCTCATTTCAAACACACATTTCTAGCCTCAAGGTTACAGCAGTTAGCCTATCGTCCAAGGACTTAACCTAGATCGATAAAAGTTACATTCTGTATATTATTAAGGACGTAATCTTCAGGGTGCATATTTTCATAAATAATAATTCTTTTCAGTCATATAGCAGTTTGTTGCCCTCTGTTATTCTTTTTGTCCAATGTGAAATAAAGTCATGTGGATGGCAATTTGTAGTTTTGTTAAATAGTTGAATTCATGAGTCGATTGAAGCTGAACCATCATTACAAACCTGAAAGCCCTGGACAGCCATCTCGTCCCCGTATGGGACTCCTCAGCAGTAGGCACATACGACCTCGCATGCAAGACTCGAGCCCAAGACCTTCGGTCTCGTGCGCGAGTGCATAACCTCTGGACCAATAAGCCGGCATCTAACGGTATTTATGTCTAACTTCAACCAATACACGATATTGCGCGACCAGTGGAGTTCAAGCATGTGTGTTGTGAGGCAGTTACTCACTGAAGACAATGGTGGATGTTTGCACAATATTGTTGATTGGTTGAATTTAGACTCTAACACCGTTGGGTGTCGGCTCAGTTGTTTAGAGGTTTATTTACATCATTGGTAAAGAGAAAGTATGAATCAAGAACTGGGATAAGCTGTCAAACTAAGAAAATTCTTTCACATAATGTCTAAATAAACTGCATCACTGAAACATTTTATCAGTATTATTTTAGTATATGCTACGACACAATATCTTTTAACATCATTTCGTAACACCAATCAAAAAGCCAAAAACAGGAGGAGACTGGTAGTTTTACATTTATTCAAATATCTACTGAATAACAACACAAAATCAGAAACAACTCACAGTTATAACTGGTGAGAACAATATGTAAACAATATAAATAACAAAATAATTAAAAACAGTTTATGGAGATTGTTATATCCTAACAACCTTTCAATATCACGTAACAAAATCGCCAATTAGAACTCCAACATATATGGCCTTGTCCCTGTGCTAAATTAATGACGCGTTAACCAGCAAGATCAGCCTTGAATCAACTCTGAGTCATTATTGGTCCTCTGTATAGTAGCTTCTCGCCTAACCCAACCCGGTTCAGTCCAAAACACAAATATAAGCTTCCGCAATATAACTGGTATATTTCAGACGTATAGAAGATCATGGCAAGAGGTGACTGTGAGTGTAAGAGACTGTAACTAATAAGTTGTGAATAACTTAAGATTTGAATCTCAATATGAATAAAAACACCAAGATTTAGCTGCAATTAAAGAGTTCTAAACACAAAGAAATGTTTATTCTGAATTTCAGCATTAATCAAAGTACGAATACACTATTACGGACATTATTCGAATAATTCCATCCAATATCAAAAGGAAAGAATTGTGAATATACTTAAATGAGAAAAAGAAAGTTCGAATGATAATTTGATTTCAAAAGTAAAACTACCGTATAAAGTAACGTTTCCATAGATCTGAAATTCATTTTTGCTAGTCATGTTAGTTTATACAGTAAACGCAAAATCATTTGCATAAGTCATATAATGTTTGACGCAATTAAAAATGTTTAAAAAAACTAGTATATGTTTACACCATTATTAGAAAGGGTTTAAATGAACATGTTATCAAAGTTCTTGACTGAATTTTTCGATCAGTTTTTGTTAGCATATGTGTATTTAAAACAGATTGCCTCGATATAGCCATTTTGTCACAAGTTCTACAGCATTGATCGATTGTTATTTCATTACGTTTTTTTATACATATTTTGACCTACTTACTATGCTGAAGTATTTACTCAAGAAGTCATTGTTCTTATGAATGCTAGTAAACTTATGATTTTGTATGTGTATATTCAGGCCACAACTATGAATGGCCTCGACTAACATTTGTTTAACCGATTCCTTTATATTGTTATCTTAATGATAATAAGGTAATATTACATATTTCAGATACTCTACATAAACAGACCAAACGCTCTAAGTAAAGACTTGAAGAAGGCATTTTTTGGAATAAGTCTATAAGCAAAAATGTGGGTCATGAATTGTAGAGAGGATTCACCCTCAATCTGTTAGACTATAGATAGATAAGGTCTGACAGGCATACACTTATTCACATATGGGAAATGTACATAAGCAATCAATCATTAGAATTAATACAAAGTAATCAGTAAGATAATAATAACATTTGTTTGTCAAACATTTTACTCATCCATATTATAAGGTAAATAAGAAGACTTGCTTATAGTCCGTTTTATTTATTATACTAGAGAATTCAGCGAAGAAAATTTTCTTTTCGACGAAATCATTTACTTAAGCTGTACATTCGTATATATAGTTATATGGAAAATGTATGTCTGTAGGATGATAGAAAAAATTGCATCACGAAAATGGATTCAAGGATAAATAACAAATGAGATTACGTACTAGTCAAGGGGTAAGGTAGAAAATAATTTATGAGTCAGATTGTAGTCCAACTGACAAATATGAAGATTAGCGACAAACACAAAGGTCATTATATACATATATATATGACAAAAAGCTGAACTTCCTTGACGTCACACTAAGCAGACGAAGTGATGGCACATTAAGTAGAAGTGTGTATAGAAAAAGCCCCTCTGCCTGCCAATATACTCACTTCTGCAGTTTCACACCTTTCCGCTACAAGAGAAATTTGGTTATATGTCTCACTAGCAGAGCTAAAAAGATCTGTACAGTAGATACTTTAGGTCAGGAGCTTGAATTTATTAATAACTCACTGACCGAAATCGGCTACCCCAGTGCTTTCATTAGGAAGTACATGTATGACGTAATAAAAAAGTCAGAGATTTCGACTGTTCGTAAGAAAACTTTATAGATGAAACTACAATTCAGCGGTGATGTGGCTGGTGATACTCTGAAATATAGGTTAACGAAAGTAATCACCATGACATTCTCTAATTGGCAGTATCGTTAAGTTATACATTAACAGGGCACACAGGCCACAAGTTATAGCATTATTGTTTTAATTGATTTAGTAACATTACGTTTATCTACCATTCAGTATTATCAGGTATATATCTAACTTGTTTCCCAGTTTAATGTCTGACTGTCTAATATTACTTAAAAAAGGATTATTATTCATCATTTAAATTCAATTCAAAGATTCATCTCTTAGTAAGATTACTATATATAGACTGGTATTGTTTACTTGAATATTCCCATTGATGCAGTTGATCAGTCTCTTATTGGCATCTATGCATACTGTGCGTATTGCCTTGATATTGCTTTAATTCACAAGCATCATAAGCAAGGATGGATAGTTTATATTTATTCATTTGATTTCTTCCATGCTCAAAAGTTACAAAGGAATTCAATCATAATAGAATCATAACAAATGACTGAATGAACATTATTTTGTCCATAACCGAAATATAATTAAATTACTAACTCATTTTAAATTTCTCATAACTATGATAAGCAAATAGAAAGCTTATATTTAGTTACTTCTTATCTTTTTAATTCAACACTATTAATCAAGCTCAGAGTTATTTACAATTCATAAGTTCGACCAAATGGTCAGACATTTCTCATTGACATTTGGTTTATAGCCAGAAGTAGAACCATTTATATTTACAAGGCTTTCTTTAGGCCAATAATTTTCGATAACACATTTGAACTAGGCTTAATGTTAGTCCATTGATTCCCTTCTGTAACCTACACGATTGCTTTTCCGATTTTCTCAGGATCGATTAAGTAGTTTTTTAATAAAATAATCGTTTGACAGATGATGATGCAACAACAGCTATTCGAAACATTATTCGCGTTGCGTCTGGTTTGGGAATCGTCATCTGGATATACTTGCAGTGTTTGTGTTCATATCAGTGCATGTATCCAACACCCGCTCCAACCTTGTGAAACACAATCTGCTTAGCTCCTGAATGCAAATAGCGACCAACTATTTTGAGATTCGGAATTCAGTAAAAATTACTAACAAGTTAGTTGAAGCCTTTCTAATGGTTCATCAAAAAATATTTAGCTTCTTTGTCTTTACTACTAAAGAATAACATAAGTAGTTTTGAAGTGTTATCTGTAACAGATGGACGTTTATGATCATCTATTATGAAAAATCACTTCTGAAGGATATCACTTTTCTAACAATTAAAATGTGTGAACTGTAACAATAAAAGCCGTTCATAAGAATTGGTTATAATTCATAATCTATATTGGAACCACGGACATGATCTTATTTTTCAAGTTTCATTTTTTCATGATTTTTGGCTTTTGTTTTCTTTTATCATAAATTTTATCGATGAAGAAAAAGATACCGTTTCCGTATTTCTACAAACCTGATAAGCAATGCAGTTGGAAATATGAATGGAAAACTATACTTTGCGAAAAAGGTTTATTTAGCACTAGACAGGGATAGTCATTCCTTTTTTATTCTATACGAAATACAGCAGTTTATAATTTGATTTTCATCATATTACGGGAATCGAATGTTAATTGATGAGACCCCTTATTAGAAACACCTAGACTGCTGTATTATGAGAAAGGTTAATTTGAAAAGTACACATTACAGCTTATCGTTTAAACGTTTCTCCACAGATATAACCATTTTTTACAGGGCATAAAAAAACTTTAATCAATCGTATATCAACAAATTACTTTACACTAATATTTAGGAAATGGTGTTTTTAATGTTATAAGTCGTATGTCCGATTTGTGCTATAGCTATGTAATAGAGGTATTATATATATATGACATCAATCACTGGTAAATGAAAAAGGTCATTTGTTTAGCAACATAATATCGTCACATTCCTATTTTTGCATTATTAATAAATAAAATTAAAACAGAGAAATAAACGAACCCTAAAAAATTAAAAATTGAAGGATACAACTAGCTTTAATGATAATATCAGTTAAATTATAATTAAATTCATCAACATTATGTGATTTGGTAAAAAAAACTGAATAACCCATATATAATTATTGTTGTTGTTAGGGTAGATGGTTGATTTGAATAGAGAAACACATTGAAGAAAGTCAATTTTTCTCATACCAACTACCATATCATTGCGTTTACTTTATTTTATGCATAATCGAAATATTTTAAATGGTAGACTGATGATTTATAACTAAATACATAGAAAAGATTGAAGATTTTATGTTATTTATACAGAAATAAATAAATAAATGAAAAGAATACAAAGAAAGATCTGCTTTAATTTATATAACGTTTGTTTCAAAACCGATATATATATATATATATATATATATATATATATATATGTGCTGACACATATATCTATTAAGTTAATGGATTTTTCCTAAAACACATTGTACACAACTCTTGAAATGATTTAATGGTTATCATTAGTTTATGTAGGCTTGTCAATTCGCTTTATTATCTTTCTTCCTAAATTATATACAGTTGAATGTCTCCACAAATGAAGTATACTGCATATGAATATATATATATTCTATACTTTAAAACCTACATAAATTTTAAAATTCAACTGATCAACAAAGTAATGATAACTGTTAATAGGTTGATTAGATATTATAACTAATGACAAGGGAACTTAACATCAACAAGTAATATTTTATGAGTATGTGTGTATATATTTTCAAGGATATATTCAAAGTTTCCAATAATTTATGGTTGTAGGGAATGGGACATACTGTTAGAAAGATCATCATTATCACTAACTGTAGGTAATTTGTTTGAATCATAAATAAAACATCGGCTTTTAATATTTATCGGTGTAGATTCTATGTGATTCTCTGAATTATGTTTATTACTTAAAACATTTATTGGTTGTATTGTACAAATATTTTTAGTAAATGGTTAGGATATTTTTACAAATGAATTAGCTGAATTATTAGTTATTTGTGAAGTTACACTTCTGATCAATGAAGGGCTAACTGGATTTTGAACTTTATGATCCGATGCAGTACGAGATAATTGACTCCTATTAGGATTTAGCATATTAAATGTTGGTGAAGTAGAAATTGAATACTTTTGGTTTGAATTATCATTGTTTACACTTAAACATATGTCAGGTTTATTTTCGTAATTTCTCAAATAATTCAACGAATCTTTAGCTTGAGGATACTTTGATACATCAGAATCTGAATCCTTTAACTGATCATCCGAATCGTAAGGATATCGAACCACAGGTATTATACCGTATTTTAAGTGAGCTGGTGATTTTGTATTCATCATATAATTTGGTAATAAATCATCTCCAGAACTAAATAACGGTGGTGCTAATCGACGCTTAATTTTACAATTTATTTGTTCTGATGAATTTGTCGATAAATCTCCTTTATTCACATTTACAGGTTTCTCCTGTGAACCAGAAGTGACCTTTTCTTTTTCATGAATATTAACATCATATAACTTTGCATGAATATTAGGAATCAGTTCATCATCTTGATAAAAATACAATTTTGTATTACTTACTAAACTATCATTTAGAGGATGAAGTTGTTTTGGTTTAGTATCGTCCTCATGTTCATTTGATTTAAGAGTATTGGTTTGTTGATTGATTTGCTTGCTATTAATATTATCATTATTATTAATAATAATATTATTGGAACCATTTGTAAAATTACCATAACTCAAACCAGTAGTATGGTTAAATTGAGATGAATAACACTGATTATAATGCATCATTGAATTGTTGACAAATCCATGTGATAAACACTTTACTGATGATGGGGACAAATTCTCTGTTTTATTTATCATTTGAGAACTAGTCAATGGAAATGAGTTCTCTTTACTAGGCATCTGACCACTTGAATTCGGACTTGCCTTAACTGACTGATTTATAATATTATTATTACTAATAATATCATTATCACCATATGAAATATTTTGATAGTGAAATAAATGTGATAGATCTTTTTGTTCATTGTTACAATTAGGACAATATTGAGTCGAATGACCAGTTGAACAATTTACTTGTTGTAATGATTGTAAATAAGGAGTGTAATTTTTTCCACTCTCCCATTCAGATATACAATTCTTGACAGATTTACTCAAATATGAATGATTTGTTTGCAAATCTGATTGACAAACGGTTTCATGATTGTTATCATCAATTGTAACATTATACGTGGAATGTTGATCACAATAAGTTGGATTATGCAATATTCTAGAAATGTAGTTGGATTTAAGTTTTTTCTTGAATAATTGCTTTCTATGACATAATATACCTATTGCAAATATACAACTGACCATTATACACAGTACTGAAGGTAACAAAGCAGAAAGATAAATATGAGTTGGTTTTGTCTTTGAAGGAACAGATAATTCGTTAAGTACACTTAATAGTTCATCATTGATTGCAATATTTGGACCTTGAAAAAAAGTAGAAAAGATATTATCTTTAGAAGAACATAATGAAAGCTCTCCTTTATCCGTTAGTATCAGATTTCAATTATTTATAAAAAGCTATTTAATTTGTCATGGTACACTTCTTGGTTTATTGTGTAGGGCTAATTTACAACAATAATTAACATCGTATTTGTATATCTACACTTGCTAGAAAGAACATAAATACGTTAATTAGTTTAAGGGTAACAATAATTGACGTTCATTGTTATTACAGATAGATTTTATGTTTCACTCGTTAAGAGTAAACTAAAGCTTTTTGGTATGTCATGTACATAGTTCATTGAAATCCTAATCACTGTTACACAGTTATTGTTTTCGTGAAGACATATTACTTTTCTGAGTGAGATCCCCTGTAGAGTATCCAACTAAGATGAGAGAATCTTTCAATTTATCATGGTTTTAAATGACTCCTCAGTTAGTTTCATGTTATACAACTCATATAACTCTAAATTGTTTTTCAAAACATAAGTTTTAGAAATGAAGATACTGAGATCTAAATTTTAGCAATTTTTTTTCTGTCATAACAATGACAAGAACTTTCTGAATCTCTAAATTCGTGAAACATCTATCCAGGATGTAGTATAATTCAATAAGACACTTTAACCTGTGAAACAATGGAAACATGTTATCTTAAATAGATATCACAAACAGTTATCCAGTGAATTTCAAACAAATTCAATTTATTATAATTACTCACATTTTTCGAGGTATCACATTTCTAATTTGAATGAAAACTATTTCATCACCAAGACAAGAAAATTTAAGTGCCATAATAGAATCCATGATTAGAATATTTATATAAAGCTGTTAAAATATTATCTTATGGGTGACATCCCAGACAAACTACTACTACACGACAATTAAAGTTAGTTCCTAATGTAAATCACAAATTCCGACGAACTCCTTAAAGCCCCTATACTTATATCAAACATGATTTCATTGGTGACCACTGTTGAAAGGTCGTTCTCATAAATATATCGATAAGCTGTGACCAGTGGGAGTTAACAATATCGGAAGTTAAATAATTACCCACCAATGTTATTAGATGATTGTTGAACAATACTACTAATATGAATCCTAACTCAATTATCTAAAGGTTGAGGTCTCACTGAATGTTCTGAAGATATTGGGTCTAATACCTGATAGGGTCTTGGATATGTACTGCCGAGGAATCCATATTAGACGGAAACATTTTCAGTAATTCACGCACTTTAGTGGCCGTCTAGCTACAGATAGTTCATTATCGAAACTGGATATAAATATATCTAAAAAATAGTCGTAATAGTATCTTATGAAAATATCTTTTAATTAATGAACATGGTATGACAGTTCTGGTAAAATAAATCTAATCAAAAAACTAAAATACCGCTTCCTGTTCAAAGTAAACAGTATAAAGTAGAGTTTACACGAGTAAATCAAAACACCCTTCATATTTCATAGACATATTTATACTAACAACGTGTGACATCCAAAAAACCATTAAACACTTGTGTGAATCATCAGCAATGAGTACCGTTATTAAAACTATATTCAAAGATAACTAAAGTTCAAAAGCTCTCAATCTTTTATATTTCATCATTCTGCAGCAAGCTAAAATAAACAAAGGATTATCATAAATACACATGTTAATTTAGATGAAATCATACTGGATTAAAAGAAAAATCTATATCTATTTCTGATAAACCTACTTCTTGGTTTGGGTTCCACAGAATTCAGTTGTGAAGTTGATACATCTATTTGACCAGAGTAAAGACTTAAATTATCATTAAATAATATAACATTCATATCATTCATTTTATGATTAATCCTTCCGTTTCCACTTGACTTGTTTAGTCTCTTCCTTAGTTTAAAAGTCTGTTTTTCTCTAAGTTTGACTGAATTCTTTGAATCCTCTGAACGAAGAGTATTTTCCAACAATAAATTATGCACTAGAAAACAAATCAATTACGTAATGAATTAAGCTAGTGCTTTACAAAACTTTTGGATATATTTTCAGCCTAGGAAGATGAAATTAAACCTTTGAAGATTATTTATATCCTGGATTTTTATTAGGTAAACAGTTAATAAAATCCAGGCAAAGGCTGTTTCTTATTACTTTGGAACTCTACAAGAGTTGTAACTGTGACCTTCAAGTCTGATGCAAGAGTGTTATCATCAGGGTAGAAGGCTTGAATCCAATGGTCAATATCTTTATTTAGTAAAATCACTGTATGATGTAACAACGGGACATTTCCATCAGTAGTTATCTATCATAATACGAAAATTGTTAATTCCCAGTAGTCATAGTTAATCGATGGATGGGCAGATACTCACCTAAAAAAGAGAACATGTTCACAATGCCTTAAAATTATTAACAGATAAAAAGTGCATCCCATCTCCAGTTTGCTTAAGCAGTAGCAATAAATAAACTGAAACCTGATTTATGCATCCAGAAATAGACAGTAATCAGCTTGCCACTAGCTTGGTAAATCTTTATTTATTTTTTGCTATTTTGAGTATTATAATTATTTTTTTAGTGTTTATTTCGTTGTGTGGTTTTCACTTAACTAATTCTTATTTGATATACACCAAATTATCCGTTTATTCATCGGTTTCCATTCAATTCAAATCCTGTTCAATTATTATGTAATCCATCTTACCAATTTCTAATTGCAGCAATTTTATGTAAATCCTCCACAACCCATCTAATTATCACACAATCTATCTTATATGTTTCCAGACCTCATTTAATTACTGCTCCATCCACCCACCTAAGTTTTTGAATTCCTTCTCCAAATGACCTCGTATCTGTTCCTACATATATATAGATAGTAAATATTGATAATCTTTATCATCCTAGTTCCTTTCATCATCAATGTCAATTGTTTCAGAGTATATCATACCTTAATATTACCTTTCATTACATATATGGTTGTAAGCATTTCATATGTTTCTGCCTTAGTTGTTGTTTTGGCTCTGTTCGAATTCAGAAAAGGAACCAATTGCATACAAGCTATTTACCTGTGATTGCGTAATTATATTTCGATTAAATAATGTTAAAGTACACTATACTATGTGACGTCAGATTAAAAACGACCAGATGTACCATTTCTCTTGATTTTCAATTGATCTCAATTTCATGTACTGAAAACTTTTTAACTCTTCAAATCCTACAGGTTTGTGAATTGATGGAAAATTGTTTCGAATAAAATAATCATTTATATATATATATATACAATAAATAGATCAATTACCAGTAAGAACAAACTAAGTTATCCGTAACATGACTTACCACATGTATATCTTAAATATAGATAAGATTTTGTACATGACATTTGTTTAAAAAGAGTAGACTTTCTTGAATTAATTAGATGTAATGATTCAAGTACTAGATTTGGACTAACAGTACATGTTAAATATCCATTACATTTATTTGAAATAATTGAAATAGAGTCAATTGAAGGACATGGAATTTCTAAACAAAAGAGGAAAATAAAAATTACAAATTCATAATGATATATCATTGTTTAACATTATTACTTAGAAGTTAGTGAAATCCATATTGTTAAAAAATGAGATTGTCTTATTCTTGTTAAGTTAGCTATTTGTCACTTCAACGTAATGTTATATGATGGAGATCATATGACTTTAGAATGGAAACGATTGGTATTTATTGCATTGTTGGGTCATTTTGTTTCAGCTAATTAGCAACGAATAAACAAGCTTTATGGGAACTACGGTAAACGTACTGAATATTTAAGTTAATAGTTGAACGTGGCTAAGTGTTCAGTAGAGCATCAATTTTCTGAATATAGGGTAACATTAAATACATCAGCAAAATAAAATGAATAAATACAATCACAATCCATTTCTGATTAGAGTAAGATCAAACTTATGAACTCTGAATTTCATCCAGTGATTTGACACTTGGTATATGTCATCAGATAATAGACGTTATGATGCAACCTTATCTTTTACTCAACCACTCCAAGTCTTTTCAAGGACATAAATTTTACTGATCAGAATCCATCGTTAAAAAAAGGATTATCTTTTCAAATGTCTCTTTGAAAGTGTTTCATCTTAATAATCTCAATATAAGTTTACTATCGTTAAATGATGTTATGTTCGCCACTTGATTAATGCAAAATACGATATACAATTGTTATACTCGAACGTAGAGAAGCCCACAGTCACAAAACCAGAAGACAGAAGAAAGCTGTAGAAGTGTTTGTTGGCTCAGAATTAGAATGTACAGAAAATCATGGATATTTATAGTAACTAGCGTGTGTTATGTCAAAATTATAATTCAGCCAATGCGCAAAAAGGCGAGTTATGCTACTGTCAAACAGTGGCATGCCACGTTTATATTCTAGAAAGCTGCATCAGGTTCTGATTGGATGAAAACTCTTCGGCGCTTCCAGGGCTTCTGGTGCCTCCGTAGTAATTGTCAAAAGCCGTTCAAACAAAAGAAAGTAAATCAATTAAGTTAATGTGGAATACATTTTCAGTGATAGTTATAGTCTTCCACTCTAAAATAAATAAAGTCATTGTCAAAACACCCATTGTGAATGGAACAAACTATTATACATATAGAAGTCATCAGAAGCAATAAGGTTTACCACAAAATTTTCAGACATATAAACTAATTTCATAATACTTATAACAACCAGACCAAGTTTACAACAAGATACAAAGTCTAATGTCACATCATCACCAAATGTTTAGAAACTATTTTGTGTAACATTAGCATAAATATACTTAAAACTTCAAAGTATTTAGGTATCTAAGGTTTCTTTTAGTCATTCATTATGAATTGGAAAGGTTTGCACAAAAATACCTTTGGTACAGTGATGTGATATCGTGGTGTTAGCTACGGTTGTCGGCACATATAAGTAGTAAGTATCATCAAGCAAAAGTAAAATACATAGTGGCAAAATGTTGAGAAGATCAAAGAAAAAAAGAAGGAGAACAAAGAACGATTGGTGTGGAAACGAAAGAACAATGAAATCTGAGATGATCGATTGGCATTTTACAGAAGGAACAATCAAGTTTGATATCATTAATTGACATTTTGCAAATGAAGTATTTACATCATGGTTCTCAGATTTTACTAAGGGATTTTGTGATTTTGTACTCAAATACATTCGATTGTTCCCACTTGTGTTCCTATTCACTATTATATAACTTGGTATTACCAATGGTTTAATGATGAGTTTATAATTTTCAAACATGATTTTAAAGAATAATCTGACTGAAAAATTACACTGTACTATTAAATCTAACTCAAAATCAGTATTTATGGTTCAAAATGATTTTTAGGTTTTGCTTATAGAAACGCAACGTATTTACTCAGAATTTTACAATGAAAAATTCAATGGGATTATATTCATCTAAATTATTCCTAGAACTTGTTTTTGCTGTTGGATTGTATTGTACAAGAATTCAAGTCAAAACAACCAAACATATTCCAATACAAAATTGCAGAATCACTTGATAAAATCTAAGAACTATACAGTAAATACTTCATTTACAAAATATCAATCAACTGTCTTGGATTTCATTGTTATTTCGTTTCCAAATCAATAATTCTTTGTTCTCGTTCTCTTTTCTTTGATCTTCTCAACCTTCTACCTCCAATCATTTCACTTTCTATTGATGTTACATACTACTTATATCTATCAACATATAGTACTGATATTCATATTGATACTATTTTTCATTTACTTAGAAAAAAATGATTACTTTTGTTAATAATTGTTGAAAATGAATTTTGTACATCTTCTTTTAAAATAGACTATGATCCATTATAGAATTAGTATGAATCTATTTTATTATGATATAAATATTTATGTAACTTTATAAGCTAAATTAAAGTATCAATTAAGACAACTTTTCTAGTATTCAACTATTCACGACCAAATCATCTAGTTCAAAGAATAAAACTTCATTGAAACATCGATTTACATTATTATGTCATAGAATACTAGTTGGTAAGTTGAATTATTCTAATAATCATATCAAATGTATATTCATTCTACGAAATAATCAAAATAAAATCTTTTCTAAGCATAATTAATCAAAAATTAACTAAATATACATACATTAAAGTGTGTGAATAACTAGTATAATATAAACATTTCCCTTATTATAATAAAGATTCACATAACTTATAGTGATTGTACATAATTTTCAATTACATACTGAATAACACTATAATACCATTATGAGTGTTTTTTAAATATTAAAATTTCTATTATAAACTTTCTGGAAACTACTAACAGGTATTAAGTAGTTGCTAACCAACTATTTATTATTGACATAAATTATTGTTTAATTCATTATAGAGATTCATTTGTTCATTTATAATTTTAACATTTTATTTTTATTTAAAACATTAATAAGATGTTAAATATAAAACATGGTAAGACATATAACTTGATACGAAAAAAAGAAAAAGAAAGGAGGTTCTAATGTGTAACTTAGATTGAAGAAAAAGGAATAGGAGAACATTTTGGATCCAAAGTTTGTTAGAATTGTTATATATGTGCGACAGTTGCTTAAATATTTAAGTAAGTACTATCAAAAACTGGGGAACTAAAACTGAATTTACAGACTGTCAGTAACGTTTCATCTACATTTAAAAGGCCTTAAACTTGGATGGCTTTTTGCAATTTTCATTTCGGATCTGAGTCGATATAGTTTTCTTTTTAAAAAAATGGAATTATTGATATCAATAAATTAGTAATAAATACGTTTGGTACTGTATCGATTGTTTCAAGGATTACTGGAATGAACGAGAACACAAATGGGGACAATCGAATGTATTTGAATACAAAATTACAGAACATCTTAGTAAAATCTGAGAACCATATAGTAAATACTTCATTTACAAAATGTCAGTCAGTTGTTTCGAACTTCATTGGACCTTCATTTCTACACCAAACATTTTTTGTTCTCGTCCTCTTTTCTTTGATTTTAACATTTTAACACTATATATTTTACTTTTGTTTGATGATACATACTACTTATATCCATCGACATCAGTACCACACCACACAATACTTTCTCCCGCAGTGAACATCAACTCTGAAATGCAGATACACCCAGCTGATTATTTCCAAATAGGACGAAATGCGCATCTTGGATTTCACTGTTAGCCACTATCCATCTTTTTTTTATAATACTTTCTCAAATATTTAAAATCTTACTTTATCTTAATACAAATAAGAAAGGTACAGACGATTTGAAATTAAATATTACTATATTACTTATTTAATTTTGGCGTATGGCAATTTATATCACAACTTTTAATCAAATAATAATACAGCTAAATTTATTAATAGTCTTTTAGCTATAAGTGATTGTATAAATTGTATGAATACAACGTTTAATCTAATTGACATATGTATTAATTATTTAAGAAAAAAGAAATTAATTGAATATTGAGATCAGTAATGACTTGTCAATTATCTGAATAAATCATACAATGGTTTATTAAGAATACATAAACAATCTAAGTAACATTATAATGTACATTGTGATTCATCCACAATAATAAGGTAATTGAATATTTATGTAAAATATGGGTGTTATATTTATGTTTCATCATGAAGAAAAACATTTTATAGACAGTACTGTTGTAGTCTATATGTTTATTTTATTTGGTATTCTTAGAACATGGTATTGTTTTGGATAGACCTTTCGAAGTTCCATATGAAAATGTCAAATTTTAATTTTCAATAATTTCGAAGCAGTCAAGTGAATTAAATTCACTTGATGTTGTTTTACTTGTGTCTTCCTATTGTTATTTAAGACTGCAATTGATCAGTATAATATCAGCATATGTGCATCCTGTGTGGATTGTCTTGATATTGTCTTGATTCACAAGCATTCTAAGCAAAGATGGATAGTGGCTAGCACCGAAATTCAGGACGCGCGTTTCGTTCTATTTAGGACTCGTCAGCTGGATGTAGTTGCATCTCAGAGTTGATGTTTACTCTTGGACTCGAACCCAGTTCCGTTCGCTTCAAATGACTGAATATATATATTTGATGGATTTTTGTTCTCTGGAGCTTTCATCGTTCTTCTGAACGACATCATTAGCACAAACTTCAGGTAGAAATGAAGTGTTCAAAGTTCTCCATATATGATTCATAGCTTGTCCTGTAGACCGCGGTGTTGACTGGTCCTTGTTGACCTTAAACATGTCACCGATTGAACAGCTAGTTATAACTTGCATATCGTTTAAACTTACCGATCTATATTTATGCTTTTGTGGTAGGTTCATATATTTCACCTAATAAAATGTGAAGTTGAACTCAGAAATTTTGAAAAAGCTCTAAAATCTCTGAAACGATTCAACACAAGTAGGTAAATAGATTGAATAGAATAGTATGGGAAGTTAGTTAATATGAAAACCTGTATCAAATAAGTTATGTGACTTATTACAAATCTTTTGAACGAGACTTTCAACAAACTGATTGTGACTGTACGACAACTGTAGAATTGAAAATCACAAGAGACAATATTTGCATCAGTGACTGACCATGCATTTTTATTTTGCTGCCTATCATTTTGTTGATGATGTTGATCATATGTAGGTTTGTGCAAAATAAGAGAGTAACACACTGAGAAGATACAAACTTTTTAAGTTGGAGATTATGGCAATGGAGGAAGACAGAAGCACTTTGGCAAAAATTTATCTGTTTTTATAGTTCTATAATTTTCAAGGTTCTGGTGACATATTTAGGACAGAGATGATGAATACTATATGACTAGCCTTGTTTCTAAAGTCAGTGATAATAAGGCATACAGTTGTGTCTTGACTGAATCAGGAATAGAGACATGGGTGATGGCCATAGTGAAATGAATAAACCAATTACACAAAACAGCCGTTTACATACCATATAGATTTTTTGATAGTATGAAATCTGTTTCGTTTTATTCAATTCAACAAAGTGATCAAAGTCAACAATTCATTATTCAAATTACTTGTAAGCAGTTTTCTTAATGGAGATTCATCAGTTAAACTATTGATATAATAAACATTCACATAAACCATATATTTCAGTATGGCGATTAATAATATTCTCAGAGGATTTAGTCTTGTGTTTATGTCCACTAACCTTGGCTAATCAAGATTTTGTTGTGTCAAGCGCACATACTTATTCTAGCTTCCGGATAGGCTAATTTATTCATTCTTCTTGTGTCACCTTTTGAACTTATTATTTATTCGCTTTTCAACATTAACTGTTTTTATGTAAGCGATTGTATGAAATACACGTATTTGAAATTCATTCTGGTATTTGACTTATTTATTTCCATTATTCACTAACGTAAGTTAGATTTATGATGATATACAACGATTGACGATATGTATAAGTCGATCGGATGATCATATTAGAATCAGATATTTCAGAGCCACAGAAGGTTTTCTAAAGTATCTAAGCTACGAAGATGTTGGATTTAAGAAAAAAGGAGTATAGTTGCACATTTTCTGACTTAGAAAAATAATTTATAGAGATTTATTCATTTCATTTAAGCGTTTTTTACTTGCTGTAAATTGGTATTGTTAATTGATATTTTAAATGTCGATGCAGCTTCCTTTTGGGAACCTGTGAACCAAATTTATTCACTAGTTAATACATATAAACACTTGTAGAATATGATTCAGAAATATTTAAACTCATGATTACTCTGTACTTGACTAAAATACGCCTGTGTGAAAAAATGTATGACATTTTGCTTATTTATTTTACTTACTTACTTACTTAGGCCTGTCTCTCCCAATGTAGCATAGGTCGGTGACCAGCATTCTTCAACTCACTCTGTCCTAAGTCTTCTTTTCTAGTTCTATCTAATTGTTGTTTATTTTATCAGCTTCAAATTCATTTCTTCGCATGACAGCTTACTTGAACTTACCTTACACTTGGATTTCAAACATTTTTATGCAAATAAATGTTGATTTCGTCTTCATATGATGATACTTCATACATTAATAAAGTTTCAAGCACAGACAATTAAATTGTTGTGACACATTTCTGTATGTCGATTGAAAATAATACCCGACATTTCATCAATCACAAACTATTTTCAAATATCCACAACGCTTATTGAGTTTCAAAATTAAATAATGACTATTTATGAGCGTTCACTTGACAACTACTTATACTATCATTGAAAATTACTTTGGTCGACTACTATTTATGCTTCATTTGTATCCATTCAATTTATATTTATGTATTTTCAGCTATAAACTAATTAAAATGTCTTTTCCTGAATGTACTAAACTGTTTAGATAGTTAATAAATAATATTGAACCCATTCGAGAAGTATTAGGTAATACTTGATATTAAACATATCCCCTCATTTCAGTTATTTGTTATATCAACCGGTCAGTTAAATTATATTTTAACACCAACTGAATTAAAAACGTTCAGGTTTTCTGAAGAATAAACACAGATCATAAAATTTGCTTTTTATTTCTTGAGTGAAAGAAAAATGAAATTTGTGGCTTCAGAAAACACATTTCGTACATTCATCTTATATCATTACTTAATGTATATATACTTTGTGAAATAAATTGTATCACTTGTTAGTAATAACAAGCTTACACACCAGTGGAGCTAATCTGTGATGGGTAGAGACAGGTATCTACTTCAATAAAATTGGAGATGGTCGGGCAATTTCATGGATTGGTTGATGTTAGACATCAACACCGTTGGATGCCGGCTCTCTTAGTGGTTTAAAGGTTAAGCGTTTACGCGCAAGATCGAAGGCCATGAGTTAGAATTTCGCGAGAGGAATCACGGATTCACACTGCCGAAGAGTCTCACAATAAGACTAAACGGTCGTGCAGTGTTCCCAGCTTTTCAATGGTAGTCTAACACTAATCGATTCATGATCTCAATCAAAAAACCTGATACCGTAACTGAACTATATTTCGATTATATTTTACACTGATTTAAAGAACATCATATTGTTACATAGATTATATTTATGTCAAATTAGTCAGTTCTATTCTATAAAGAATAATGAAACAAAAACTATCTACACTGACTCATCATAATTACAAAATAGTAATAATTAATAAATCAGTTAGAATATAAAAAAAATAGAATATTTATTTGTTGATTTTATTCAAGACTATGGTTCTATGAACTTGATTGTCCAAAATTAAGTAATATATATATATTGAAAAGAAATTTACACTATCATAAAATGCCATATTGTAACAGTCAAAACAAAACAAAACAGAATCGGAAAAAAACAAAAAGAAAAGCTAAACCCTTATAAGTTTGTTGATGGCAAAACTTATAGATGTTTGAATGTTAGATCATTCAATTGACATTTAATTGAATGGCGACATCAAAACTTATTATATATACTATTCAATAGGTTTTAACTATAGTTTCACTATAATAATACTGTTTGTACATTAGGATAGATGTTTTAATTTGAAACGGTTTTCTTTTTCTTATTAATTGGAAACTTTCTTTTGATAAGTTATGTTTGACAATATTATTATTGTTATTATCAGAAGGGGTTTTGCGGAGATTTTAGAAATTTCACGATGACAACGACCATGCTCAAAAATACACTCATTGATTTATATTTATCAATACACCCATTTCGATTGCTAATTAGAATAAAATCACATATGTGAAAATAACATGGATTATAACAAATTACATGCTGCTCCTTATACAAAGCATTATTTACTTACTTACTTACGCCTGTTATTCCTAGTGGAGCATGGGCCGCCGACCAGCATATACAAAGCATAGTTCACATTAATTAGATAAATGAAACAGCACACTTAAATAATTAACGTTTCATACATTTAAGCCTTTAGATCATGTTTTTTAATGAAATCAAAATATTTATTCTTTGTTATTACTAGCACAAATATATAAAGACAAATAATTTAATAGTTGAATCCATGAGTCAATTTAAGCTAGATCACTATGGAAAACCTGGAAGCATTACTAAGGCGTCCCATACTAGGACGAAAATGCCGTCTAGTGCTTTCATGTTTTTGCTATGGTGATCTAGCTTTAAGTGACTCATGATTTCAATCAATGAAATAGTATTTTTGTTTAACTATTCATTTAATGGTGTCTAGTAGAAAGCAGGCTTACTTTTATTTCCTATTTTCAAATAAAACAAAAACACATATAAATAATATGATTACTAGATAAATATTATTACGATGCCGATCAAGTACTGGATGACTCTAACATCGTACACTTATCTTAGTTTAAAGATGAACATAGAAGTGTTTTGGACAAAATAAACAATGTAACGGATCATTTCAAATAGTGTTCAGTATATGATTAGTTCAGTCATATTGACACCAAAGTGTTTTTTGGTGAAAACAAAATTATCAGTATAGGGTTATGTAAATTGTCTTGTTTTTTATTGAGATTATCAACCGATCAGTGTTAGACTGCCTTTGAAAACATGAGAATACTAGACAGCCGTTTCGCCGTAGCACGGGACACCTTAACAGTGCTCATCTACGATCCCGCAGATGGGATTTGAACCCAGGACCTTTGGTCTCACGCTCAAAATGGTAAACTAATAATAACCACCGTCACAGAAACGTTTCATCGCCTCCATTTTTCACTTATTTAATCTTCAAATTGAAAAGACGTGTATCTTATAGTTCTGACTGAGGCTCTTGATCCTTTATCATATAGGTCATTGCTTTCTAGTGAATAAAATAAAGTTTCTTTTAGGTTATAATATAAGTTAGAAGAAAGTAAACATCCTTTCTATTAATTTTAATTTTGACAACACTAAAATATTATATCCAACGTAAACAATCTACTTAAGTTAGTAAACATTTTGACTAACTAGTAATGTATTTCAGGTACGACTAATAATGTCCCAAATCTGATGAACTATGGTAAATCATACTTTTTATATTATGACCAGTGATATATTCTGCTGGTGTCACAGATGACTTAGTTTGACTGTTATCAGGCATGTTTCCTTTATTAACTCCTGGAATTAAATAAAAATTAACGACGGAGGGTTGATTCAAGCCTTTAAATGAGAAGCTTTTTTAGTTGGCTAATGAAATTCAGTTTTTAGTCCTGAAATAATTTGATTCAGATCAGTTCTAAAATAATTAGAAGGCACAGTATTTACGCCAAATGTTATCAAGTAAATATTGAAGAAAATGCTCTAGCTTACTGATAATTTCGAATCGTAAATCCATATCATTCATATACTGAAATTGGATCAGAATATCTCCCCACACAAACCACTGTTACCATAATGTGGCTTATGCATAAATGTATATAACTTGAAAATCTGTTAGAGATTTTACACAGAGTCTGTTTAAGTATATCAGTTATTTGGCTGACTGTAACATATTTATTTACTTGAGATAAGTACATTTGTTTTGTGCAATAGATTATTGATGTTTCCCTTATGAACTTACACAATTAAAGCTTATTTAATTATGAATTAATATTAATTATAAACTGAATAGATGTAAAAATAAACGTTTTGAGGTTATGTACTAATGTAATCTCTTTTCTTCTTGTAACAAACATATCTTCTTCAGTTATATTCTCCTCTCTTGCCTCAAATCATCAGTGCTCACTTCTTTAAAACAGAGAAATTGTGCTAAAGTTAGTGGGGAGGGAACTCACTAGGTCAAACAAGAAGTTGACATTGGCAATAATATATTTTATTTTTCACATTATCTAAGTCATTAAAGGCATAAGTTCTGTTATAATGTGTATGACATTTGATGAGTTATCACAATATGAATGATTAGAACAATTAAAGCTTTAGATATTTTATGGCTAACCAAAATTGTTACTTGAACATTCCTGACAATTGTAATGCAACCCAACTTTAAAATGTTAAGATATATTTGAATATATCATGATAATTGAATAGTTGACAGTATTTTGTTTTATTTTTTTTCTATGTGAGAAACCACTGAAAATCAGTCAATTATAGACACTGAAGTTCCCTAACTTAGAATCCTGAAGGGAGGCGAAAAAGCGGAAGGCCGAAGAACACACTACGTCGGGAATTCGAAGCAGATATGGAATGGATAAATAGCAATTGGGAATAACTGGGAAGGATTGCTCAGCACAGGGTTGGATAGAGAGTGCTGGTGGGCGGCCTATGTTCTTCGACGAGGGGTAACAGGAGCAGGTAAGTAAGTAATAGACACTGAATTCTTCTGTTAAACTATGATAATGAGCAACATTTCTAGGGAGAAAAATTTCTTTTAGCCTAAAACGTAACAAAATAAATAATAAAATCCATGACTTAAGTTTATTTCTAGGCAAATCGTTCGAAATTTAATGTCCAATATTCCCAACACTAGTTTATTTAGCATAAATATCATTCAGTTTCATCAGTGTTGCCAGCTCTGTTCCCAATAATGATCTTCTTAAGCTAGATCAGGCTTTCTATGAAGAACGTTGAAAGTTGCTTGTAGAAACTGATTAGCTTTAAATACATAAATCTTACCAAGATGAGAATATTAAGTGTACACAATTGATGAATTCTACCCTTAAATCAAACATCTTTCGATAATTACCTGATTTCCATCGGTTATGTAGTTGATTATAGTTCGTGATTAAACTACCTTGGTATTTTACGGATAATAATGAGGTGAACATTCGTACTAAATGTACGATTAATCCTTCATTGAAATTATTTGAATTAGTGAATGATTTTACATTATATTAAACAACACAACATTTTAATATCGATTTGTTCTACAGATGGTTTCTGTTATTTCTGTCATGGAACTAAAGAAAGAGAATGCATTGAGATTCTATTCATCCATACATATATATATATATACAACTAGCTATTCAAATTTCCATGTGATCTTACATCTTATTACTAACCAATATGTTAGCAACACTTATCACTTCTTCTTGATTCAGCAATAATCATTCAATGTAAAACTTGACATTATAGAGTTAATCAATAAGCATAAAATTGGTAAATATGTATTCCTATCAATAAATCAAATCATCTAAATTACCACTTTTTTTCGGAAGATCTATTTTTTTTTGTTTTTTATTTACTGGAATAAAGGTAAATAAATTACAGTTTTTGGATTATATAATTAAGCTTAAAATACAATTACTAGTAGTTGACAACTCATTATTGTAATGATACATTTGTTGACTAGATTGACTTTTCATTATTAAATCTGTATAGCTTTAAACTTGAAAGTCATTAATTTTTAATAATTACTATTTAAAGTAATGTAATAAATATTAACAGTTGTTTATTTAATAGTTGAATTCATTAGTCAGTTAAAACTAGACCACCATGGAAAACTTGAAAGCACTGGATGGCCCTTTAGTTCTAGTATGGGACTCCTAAACTGTGCACTTCCATGATCTCGCCCGCGGGATTTAAACCCTGAACCTACCGGTCTCACACGCTTACGCTTAACTTCTAGACTACTGAACCGGCCGTTATCCAACGGTTTGAATATCTAACTATTGAATTATTAAGGAATATACTGTGATGTATTCATTGTACTGACAGCAATAAAAATAAATTTGGTCATAGTTAAATAATGTTGTGTTTTTATTGAATCGAGAGAATGATTTTTTGAATACCTTCTAGAAAAGATTTCAGTAATCACTACAAAAAAGAAGTCATCATATTCATTTTAATAATAATTTCCTTTTTTTTAAAGGAATTTTGCATTTTACATTGGGAAGGTTTTTGAATATTAGAGTTTTATGGCAAATTAAGTATATTTGAATTGATATAATGAATTGTATTTAACAATAAATTGGCTCTATTTGACCATGAAAAAAGTCCCAATCAATTCTGTAAAAAAATGGTTTGGAAGTAATGACTGTGTACTTATCCAAATGATAAACGAAACAGAATATTCAACGGCATTTAATAACATTTAACGTTGTAAAACTGTTACAGCAATGAATGACTACTTCTACTAATGCCGGAATTTGTTTAAATGTTTCGTTTAAGATTTTCTTATCACTCAACTTAAAATTTATGATGCCAAGTTATGAACGACGTAGGAAAGTGTCAATTAGTTTATTGGATCTGTGAGACGAAACTGTTATGTGATATAAACATAGTATTTAAAGAAATGATTACTTTAAAATTAATCTGGTTATATTTGCTGGTTGTTTGTTGACTTTTTGATTCTTTCTACTACATAAGACTTACTCGATGAATATCTATAACCTGTCCATATTTATTCCTCTCTCTTTTGTGTGTGTGCTTTTCTTTCTTCCCATCTTCGTTACTAATATTTGTTTGATCCTTTCGATGCTTATCTAGGCAATGCTATCTCTCATAGTGATTTAGTGTAAGAACATTATCCGATTTGCATTCATTCTATGCTATATATTGATTATGACAGACTAATCCTGTATTTTAATGTTTTCCATGATGTAAACTACTCACTATGAGTAATCATGTCTAATCCATTAGATATTTTAAGAAACAACATTTATAATTGAGTAAAACATAACATAGTTTACACCTACATGTAAACATTCAATTTGATTTTTCAAATGTCAAGATACTTTATTACCCCTTTTAAATTGTCCAAAATCATCTTGTTTTAAGTAGTAAAATGCTTCTTTTTCTCTTTAAAAATTGATAGTTCATTAATTAAAATTTTAAAAAAATCATTGGAACTAAAATTCAAAAACAATCACTGGGTGGTCATCAAAGTCAAAATATGATCATTCTGAATTTTGTTTATATTGTTGTATAAGATTTATACAATTAAAGGTTAGATACTGAAGAACTTTTTCATAAATATTAAAACAAAAATGTTACTTTATTCAAATATAGTGTCAAAATATCAGATCATTTCATTCAGTTTAAGGATTATAGTTTACAATATAAACTAATAAACTATAGTTTGATAGTGTTCTCTTATTTCATTTTAACAAACAATATAGACTAATTGATATCTAGAAATAATCATTGTAATTATAAATAAACAAAATGCAATTTAATTGTATTTGAACTCCTAGATATAAATGGTATTATTTTTTTTAAACCATTTAATCGATTCACTGTTTACTTAATTCTCTTCAGTAGTTTCAATACATTAATTCTGAATTTAAAAAACAAACAACTAAATTACTAATTAGCTAAAGATAGATAGTGGCTAACAGTGGAATCCTGGATGTGTGTCTCATTTCATTTGGGATTCGTCAGCTGGATGTACCTGCATCCCAGAGTTGATGTTCACTCCGAGACTAGAACCCAATACCGTTCGCTTCAAACGCTATTGCGTTATCCACTTAGCTACTGAGGACTCAGTAGCGTGAATATCAACTCTGGTATGCAAGTACATCCAGCTGAAAAGTCTCATATAGGACAAAAGGCGCGTCCTGTATTTCACTGTTAGCCACTATCCATCTTCGCTTATAATGCTTGTGACTTGAGGCTATATCGTAGCAATTCGCACTGGATGCACATATGCCAATATTAGACTGATCAATTGCGGTCCTAAATAACAATGGGAAGACATAAATAAAACAACACCAAGTGAATTTAAGTTACTAATTGTTATATTATATCCAATTTATAATACATATGAGCGTTACATTTATAAAATACAATGTTGATATTACTTACCATTTGCATTTGATCTTAAACATCCTTGCAAACTTGTTTCGGAAGGTGAAGTTAATTGTATTGAAAGATTATGGTTAAGTACAGCTTCTAATACTATTAATCCCATGTCCATAGAAAACGCTTTACAGGATAATTCAACATAAGAATCTGCACAAATAACTTCTTGTTTAGAATAGACTGATAAAAAAAGAGTAAAAACAGATATCAAGATAAATGTGAAATAAAACTTACATATATGGGTACTGAATATTATATCTAAATAACTTAGACATTAGACATGGATTGACATATAATTTCACTTAAATGAGATCATGAAGCGATCATTGTTAGACCATCACTGGAAACCTGAAAACACTGAGTGACCATTTGTGGGGATGAGCACTGCTGAGGAGTCTCATACTAGGATAGAACGACCGTCCAGTGCTTTCAGGTTTTTCATAGTGGTCTAGCTTCGATTGACACATGAATTCAACTAAAAAATTACTAAATTCTCCACAAAACCTCTTTCGGATAATAATAATAAATTGTTTTTAGATTTTACAGATTAACCCATTTACCTGGGAAGCATGTATAATTTACTTGTAAAACCGATGGGTATGGACAATTTGTGATATTCTTCTGTTTTAATTGATGAATTAAATCACATCTATTTGTACCATCACACAACCGTTTTACAATCTAAAAATTAATAAAAATAGATGAAAAGTTGTTTTTAATGAATTACATTATAAGTAATATATGTGTAATGAGTAAATGAAATGATTGCTTGTATTTATATTAAAATCATATTGAATCAAACCTGATGTTTGTCTGCGTTTTAATTATTACTAATCGAAATAACTTTTAAAAAAAGTTAATTTGTTCTTAGGTATTATGCTCAGAACGTGACTATCTATGATGCGGATTAATCAAATTTTGATCATAAAACCATTTGACAAGTGTATGGAACTATCCAATCAAATTTATCGGACAGTATGACTGTAATTTGTAATCCTCTTGATTCCCATCATCTAAAGTTCCATTTTTTATGAGTTCATAAACAGTAACAGATTTTCTAAAGTCGGTTTTCATCACAAAGCAACATCTATTGGAGAACTATCGAAAAAAGAATAACAATAGACAGCTATTTCGCATTATTTGACAAATTTAATCTGTTCTATCAGGCAATATACTGAAGTAAATTTAACACATTGAATGTCAAATTACTTTTACATGTCAAGTAAATTAGTGACTATCTGTTTTCAATTTATAATACCTTATTGTTTGAAGAGATTGGTAAAGGGTTCAAGTTTTAGCATGAAAATTACTACTGCAGGTTTATCCAGCTTACAAGTCTTATAAAGATGAAACATACACCGCTAATTCTAGCATTATATACAATACAAATAAATTGACATAGTGATTACTTAAAGCTATTATTAAACAGTAATAAAGCTAACCACTGTGATATTATAAAAAGATAAAGAATTTATATAATCAATTGTAATTGAATTCATTTTACCTGTCCAATTGATTTAGCTTGGCATTCAGTTATTAGACTGAACTTTGTAGTTGGTCTATCTAAATACTTTAGATTTCTTTCAATATGCTCAGGTGAATTTGAGCATTGTGAATTTTTGTCAAGCACTTGACTGTAATATGCATCAAAAATATGTAAAGTTGTTCTATATGGACAGGAAATTGATGTTTGTTGATCTATGATCATTGGATTTGAATAACTATTTACTTCAACATTTGTACATAAGGTAATTACAAACTGCTTGAGTCCTAATGAATCTAATTTTTAAAAAAAAGATGAATGTAAACATGAAAAAGATTATTGAAATTATTGGTCAAATAAGTTTATTAGTTTATCACTATTTATAAAGTTACTGTTTAATAGGTCAAATAATAGACTTAAACTGCAAGGAATAATCAGCATACTAATTGTAGAAATGTGAGTGTATAATGCAACACATTAACTTAGTTACTGAAGAGTAACATTAAGCCATACATTACTTTATCAAAGTTTATGCGATAAAAGATTGATACTTTTAAAATAAAAAAAAATCTGTCAAAAATAAAATGTCAATTATTGAGAAAAAAAAGCTAATTTTACAAATGGCTACCTAAAGACAACAGGGAAAAAATGTACTAATACTATCTTTATTGTTATTTGGTTGATACTACACCTGTCAGTTGAGAAATTTACTATCCTTAATTTATAAAATATAAAATTAAAGGTTACGTCAAAATGTCATAATTTGTCTCCTAATATTCCAATTTACTAATCAGTAAAAAGTAAAAACATAATGTTGAAAATATTTAGAACTGATTGAACTTTCAAGGATTCTGTTTACATTTTCTCAATCAATTTCAGTCTTAAACATTAACGGGAAGATTCAAGTAAACAATATCAAGTAAATTTAAATTTCACCCCATTGTACAAGCTAGTGGCTATGAGGACGCAATAGATAAGTGGATAACGCAATGGCATTTGAAGCGAACAGTACTGCGTTCGAGTCGTGGAGTGAACATCAACTCTGAGATGCAGGTATATCCAGCTGACGAGTCCTAAATAAGACAAAACCCCGGCCCTGTATTCCACTATTAGCCACTATCCATCTTTGCATATAATGCTTGTGAATTTAGGCAATATTGGGGTAATACGCACGGTATGCACATATGCCAATATCAGACTGATCAATTGCAGTTCTAAAAACATCAATGAGAAGATACAAGTAACCAATATCAATCAATTTTGTTTATTTTTCCATTTATGACATTTTAAAAAAATTATCTGTCAAATAATTTCATTTTACAAAATTATTCAACTTTCATTTAAGACTTGATAATATACCCTCAGAATATGAAACAAAAGAAAAACTTGTATCTATCTAATTTGATTTGATTCCAGAATATTATGTGTTATTGATTACAATTAGGAACTTGTGGTAAAAACAATTTGATTGATTGGTTTTCTGTGTATGTTTTGTTGTTGTTGTTGTTATTGAGTAATTAGTACTCCTCATTGCAAACATTCAAGTTTACAGATAATATGACTCATTATTTAATTTGTTTTCATCATTAATATACTCCAAAAGAAAGTTTTTTGTTTTCCCTTTAATTATTTCACTAGGAGACTATCTTATGTTTTTATTGATGTATTTTGTACAAAAAACTCTTTTTTTTCTTGTGATTATCATAAACACTGATAACTTTGTTTTCAAACAACAGCAAAATTGTTTGTTTAAAATTGTCAAATGAAAAATAGGTATAAATATTTAGATATAAGTATTATATAAGTCTAAATATTTATGATTGAAAATATTCTCTTAATTGTTGTGATTTATCTGTGTTATAACTTGTGACCTATGTGTCCTGGTAATGTATAACGTAACGATAACGTCAGTTAGAGAGCAGTGAATTATCGATCGGTCCAGTGACTCATAAAACCCATACGAGCAGTCTAGAGTCCTTATTGGTTCTGCTTTTCACCTAACCCAGCCAGTTAAGTCCAGAACACAAATCTCAGCTCCTGCAATATGAATCATTTATTTCCAGTATACTGGGTTTATATACCGACCAGACAGACCACATCGTACCATAAAATGGAAAATAACATTTGAACAAGATTTAGCCGAATGTGGCTGTGAATGTGGGAGGTAGTAATTAATCGACAGGGCACAATTCAAGAATGGTAAATCGTATAATAGTAGTTCATAGGTCAAAATAAAGCTCATAATAAGAGGGATATGAATATGAACAGTTTAGTTATTTAACAATTATACGATAAAAATATGCGTATAGTATTGGTGGTTAAATTGTTCCCAAAAGTTACCATTCATTATGCTTATCGGGACGTAACAACTTGATTATATGAAGGAATAGAATATTGCATAATATCTTATCTGATGAAGTTGGACTTAGAAATTTCTTCAGAGGACATCATCACAGTTTGTAGAATTATTAGACGATCATAGAGTTTACTGCTCTTGAATGCTCTGGTACGGCGGAGAGCAGGGAGAGTCAGATCTCCCTCTTGAAAAGCTCTCACATAGCCATGCGTATTCAGCCACTGATAGGGAATTCCTACTAACTGTCTTCTTGTGACGGGGGTGGTGTTCACAAAATTAAGAAGATGAAAATCGGATGCCCGACGCTTTAACCGAGTTGGCGGACACGGAGAGTTTACCTAGGGAAGTTGGCGAACCATTATTCCGAACAATTGGTGCACATGGGTTCCGTGATCATGAAAGAATAAATGGAATGTGAACCAGTTGCTGTTCACCGGCTACCATGGGACTGCATCTCTTGACGTTGCTGTACTTCCCTGTGGATCAGATCTTTAGATCGAAGGCTCCGGAGGTAACCTCCTAAGAAAACCACCTGCCTAGGTCTGGGCACCCAGGCAGTATCTTAGCCCACACAACAGTCATGTGAATTGTGTAGCGCATATATATTCAGTGCCCTTTTGTACCAATATTTATGTGTTCATATAAATAATAAACAAATAACATAGAATCTACCATATCAATTATCTAAAACTCACTGTAATGTTAATTTGATTATAAATTGATTGTTTCAGATGCTTTTTTTTACAGTAATAGAAAACTCAATATTCTTAAGAATGCTAATTACTTTATAGTAGTTTTAATCAAGACAATCATAGTTATGACCCCATTCAATGATAACATTTTACAAAGAAATCAATTTTGAAATTAAAATTTTACATTTGGCATCCAGTCTTAGTAATTATATGTAAAGAAGAAAAAACATTAGAGTTAACTGAAATTTCCACTACTATATTCATTTTCTTATGGTCTTCCATCATAACTTATACCAGTTAATTTCATTGAAAAAAATACGTATTATACCAAAAAATACACTAATACAATAGTTTTTCTATTTAATTAGTAGACTACTCTACAAATACATGTTCATTCGATTTAATGTCATTAAACAACTTTAGATTGAAATAATTTGTAAAAGTTATTCATTGTCTCGCTTAGATGAGTTTCTGACTATTATTAGGATTTACCACTCAAGTCAGTATATTGTAATGAGCATTTTGAAACACCAGTTGAATGTTAGAATTGATGAACAGTTGACTAAGGTTCTTATTCAATGAATGTAACTACGAAGATTCCTTACTTTACTCATAGCCAAGTGTTCATAATACCACTGTAGTGAAGGAGAACACAGGTGAGGACAACCGAACTATATTTAGCACAACATTACAGAGTTACTTGGCAAAATAGAAAAACCATAGTATAATACTTATATTTGCAAAATGTTCAATAATTGTCTGGAACTTCATTGTTCTTGCATTTCCACACTAATTGCTTCCTATTCCCGTACTTCCTTTCTTGGTCTTCCCAATCTTCCGCTACCAGACATTACATTCCTGACTCGCGTTATATACCACTTATGTCAATATAAGTATCACTCAACACACTACCACTTTTGGAATAAATGTTAAAATGTTTTTCAGAGAACTATAGTTATTATATCATTTCTCATTCGCTAGTGGCTGGTATTGGGTCTTTTGGTATATGAACATAACTTGTACTGCCATGGTACAACATTTCAGTATGTTTAGTGTAGATTGGTTTGAGGTGAAAATGTAAGAGAATATGAGGCTCAATATTTTAAATATAACTAACTTTACCCTTCTTCAAAAGACTAGTTTTATATAATAGTCCATGTTTAATCATTCATAACGTTTCCATATCTTTGATTACTGATTTCATTACTAACCATCTCTTACAATCCAGTTAATTCATAGTCATAATGAAGTAACTCAATACTTCTAAATGTAACATTCAAATCATATGAAAAGCCCACTGATCCTAGTAATGACCCTAATACTAACGAATATATTCATACTTAAATATCTCTCATTTTGATTTCTAGAACAATGTGTCTAACTATTGCTTTATGCTTCTGGAACTACCGATTTAAATAATTATAGTTACATACTTCCTTCTGTCGGACAAAAGAAATAAAACTGTGTGGCGAATAAAACAAAATGAATATTGAATATAATAATGAATAGTTTTTTAATAAGTTGACAGATGATTCTAAAAATGATACAAATTCCTTTAACGTTGGATTTTCTATTACGAAAATTATTACATTATTTTTTGTTAGAATTATTTCAATGACATAATTATTTATTTCTAACTAATATGTCATATGTACCACAAAACTACGGTTCATTTCTTTTCTCAGCTACCTTGAAATGATACATCCTTGACAGTTCAGATTTGGTTACCATGACAACAGGATGATATTACCAAATTGTATACAGTTCGTCAGTGTCTGCTAGAAATTTCAATTATTATCTACATACACAAACGTCATCATTAACACAATCCGGAAAAATTAAAAATAAGATTTTTTTTTAAACTGCATTTCTAATGAAGATTATGTACATAAATTCCTTGCAATAAAAGATGCATTGGCATTTTTAAACTCATGGTACTGAAAAAGTAAAATCTCACTCAGTCATAAAATAAATATTTGTAAAGTGAGCTACCAAACCTAAGGAGAATATACGTTTCTTATGATATGATGGAAGTCCTAATTATAAATGGAATTACCTATATGATGAAAGATTTGAGACAGAAAAGTTAGTTTGGGTTTGTTAGCTACAGAAATGGTTACTATTACCTATCATTCCATATATAACGAAATATATCTCTTAAGACATCAATGTACTCTAATGTAAGCGATTTTGAGGCTGAATGTTCAAAACCTTTCAGACAACAAATAGTTTATGAAGTTATTTTTGG